ATTAAGTTCCTGCTGAAATTCCCAATGAAAGGAATTTGAAAAGTGACAATTAAAATGACAATATCCTAATCTTAAGAAATTTTAACACTCATGAACAAACCTGCAAACCCCAAATATATAGAATAGAAATAAAGAATTCATATTGAAAATCATGGATGAATTTTAAAGAGGCATAATAGCCTGTCAAAAGCAAATTCCTGCATATATCAAAAAAAGAATTTAGTCATGTGATTCAAGGAATTTTAAATTTTTTGTTGGAATAATGTAAAGCAATTCGCACTATTGCATGTCATGAGTTGAGGCGTGTATTTGAAAAAAAAATTTGTATGTGTGTTGTTTGGCAAGGGGGCACACCACATCAAAACATCAAAAGCAAATTTGTTCACATTTGGTAGAACAAAAATTACAATATCCTGATCTTATTCGCCACAAAATAAAAATTGAATTACAGTTATGGACAAAGCTTAGAAGTTATCAAATAACTCAATCCTCCAAGTGTTCATTTGTGGAGCATGCTTGATAGTGCATGAAGGCATTCATCGCCAAAGGTCAACTTAAAGTTATTCTAGTATCTAAGCATCCGCAAAAGTTTAAAATGCCCCTTGAAAAATGCAATTCATGGTTGCTAACAAGAATATTTAGGTTAAACTAGACTGATTAGCTCATCTGACTAAAAAAACCAAGGTCTACAACAACCCAAGGCGACAGAGCGCCTACGAATAAGCCTTAATAAAACATTCTATCATGTGATACGGAGCAGTAAATAACCAGTATGCATATGAGAAAGCTCAAACCAAATCATAAAATCCTCGTAAATAAGGATGAATTCTTTGAATAATGTCATGTCTGATATCCAATTTATCATCTAAAAATTTGTCTAGAACCAACACTTATAAAAGAGTCAGCACGAATTATTAAAGTCTACAACCTACCAACATAGAAAAGAACACAAAAAGTCAATAAGTAAAGCCCCATCATCCCAGGTGTTCAGAGTAGAGGACAATATGGAACTGGGTAAAGATTAATCAGAACCAGCACAAAATTTTTGAGACAAATGAAAGTTCCACGTGTTAAATTATCGAATTTCCCTTGGGGTCCCATTCATTTAGGAGGGCTAAGCATGTGTGGATCAAGATCACTTGAAGTATAATCAAATTGGTAGATCAAGATCACCATCCAGTGTAGTTAATAGGCAAAAAAAATTTATTTGTGTCCAAACATTAAAAAAAGAAGGATTTACAAAATAAAGTACTATATACTGCCAAGCAAAAACAATGATAAAGAATGAGATTTTAAATTTTTCATCCAGGAAATATCTATAAAAACATCTAATCTCCCTATTGCCAACCAAATGATAAGTCGTTCAAGTAGATAAGTCATCAAATCTGCCAAATCTAAAAGTATAAAAACCCAAACTAAAATCACAAAAATAGGCATGTGAAAGAAACCTACAAATTATATATTCAAAAATATTTACCTCAGCGAATGTCTCCAAGTAAGGCCACACATCAAACCTTGAAATCCATTTTCTGAGAATTCCATTTTTATTTCTAAAAGGAATCCTCAAAATGTGAGAATGCTTTGTTCCTGTAACTCGCTCCAGTCGTTGGTTGCAGGTTGTTCCTTTTGCTTCTGGTATCAACCTTGTAATCTTTCATTTTCAAAGAAATTAAAATAGGATCTTCGTCTTGATAGAAATAGGAAAGAAGAGGTGATTAAAACATATAAAACAGGGGACCCTTGTGTATGATTAAGGAAGAGGTTCAGTAGGGTAAAGGTGGGTTTGTGTGTGGGGGTCTAAAATTGGAGGAAGGAGGTGGTCTAGGGATGTGAAGAATGAAACTTACTATAAGAATTCGTGGATCAACATTTAACCCCTGGTTTTTTATCCTCAAAAGCATTTCACTCTCAAGAGCACGAACTTGATCCAAAATATAGACAACCTGAATACAAAGCGGTAATAGACGTGAAAACATGCTATTTGGTGATAGTCAAAGTTTCAAAATTAATTTTTACACAACAAAAGAAAGAACATTTATCTAGACTTCAATGGAGCCTTCAAAAACAGGTAAACAATCATTGTTCTTTAACTCCACTTAAAGAATACCTGTCCTCCAGTATCAGGTAGTCCTAGAACACTAGCCTGGCCAAAATAGCCATGTGGTGAAAGAATTACGACATTGAAAACCATTGGTATTCTCCCCAGAAACTTCTCAAGGGATGCTGGATCAGGAGCCTGAAGTATATCCAAAAGAAGGTGGATCATCTCAAGTGCACGCCCAACTGTGTCACCCCAACCTTTTTCCAATCCCATCTCTTGGAACCTGGTAATTAATTAAAATCTGAATGTGCTGAGAAAACATAAAAAATTGTATTTGAAAAAGTGGACCCTACTTTGCACTGATGTTGCAGCATATACTTTTTAGAAATATATTACCAAAGAAGAGACGCATGCTCAGTTCTTCAATTTAATTATCTATGATCCACAATAAACAAAAATTTCATTATAGAATCTCGTTATTGAGCAATGGTTGCTAATGTATATTATCTGCAACCATCGCCAGCAGCCACGGCATAGAAGAAGGTGAATATTTTCAATACAAATTAAGGACATATTGTTACCTGTGAGCGATTTCAGAGAATGGCGTGTTTGGGTCGCTCTTAGACAGATAATCTTCAGCTTTGGATAGGGTGGACTGGAGTCTTGATAAGCTTTGTATCCTATCATTCAGCATCATCATCTGACCATGTACGCAGCGATCCCAACGTAAGTAACAGCTACAAAAAAATTGGGTGTGGGGGGGGGAGGGGTGTGGTGGAGCGGGCAGAGCATTCACATCAAATGAAACTCAAGCTTACATGGCCCTTATATTTGTGGGCTCTCAGAAAGTTCAGCAAAGGTTCTAAGCTTTCCCTGTTTCGAAACATGACTGAAGAAAGGTGCCGATTGAGGAACTGAACCCCATTTCCTATGGAAGAAGATCTATTCGGGCGAGGAAAATCAGCATTGAAGGGCTCAAAGTCCAGCTCCAAAGCATAATTATCATTAGAACTGTCAATAATACATACGGAACGCATCATTTCAGTGGAAAATGAAAATCAGAGACGGAAACAGAAACAGAGTTCAAGAAAGACAGCTCCGGCTGTATCATTACTAATGTTCATCAACAAGCTTTTCCTTGAACTGAAGGTACTCTGAAACTTCAAGCTGCTCCACGATGAGTTCGTGGACGTTCACTCGAACGTACTCCCACACGCCTGGTCGCGGGCGTATGGCAATGGCCACGAATGGAGGCAGCACAATTCCCTCCTAAATCATCAAAAACAGATGCTGAATAAAACGAGCAACAAAATATTCAACTACAGAGAGAGAGAGTCAATAAGAGAACCTGAGCAGACTTCAGAATCTCGAAGAAGGAGCCCTCTGCAAGCTTCTTGTCGTCGGCGACAACTGCCGAGAGACCATCCAAGAGGTCATGGGGCTGTAGGATGCACTTTCCCTGGTTGACATACCTGAAATAACGTTCAAAGAGTGTACAGTATAGTGATTAGGGTTTCAAAGCCGGTGATTGGATCGATCAGAATCAAGAAGGAGAGACCTGGAGAGCAGAGAGACGAGATCGTTGCGGTGGGCCGAGAGGGTATCCTCTACCCTCTCGCGGATGCTGGGTACGCGCCCAAGCTTCTGCGTCGCCATGGCGATTCCTCGCGTCTGTGTAACTTCTCCGTGATCGAGTTGAGAAGTGAATGAGATGGAAGAGTGAAATTCCGCACGCAGTTTTAGGCAGATAAAGTTGCCATTTGTGGTCGGGTCCTTGTTTTAAATTTTTCTGCAGCGCACAGATTTAAGCTTGATAATATTTATATTGTAGTGTGAAAGTGGGCACCCTTTCTGCTGATTAAACAGTGGCGCAGAATGGACGTCAACGTCGTGCCACGCGTTCAAGAAAATCGAAGTCGATTCTGGCACTATAACGCTCGTGAATATGATCATGGTCTAAATTTTATTAAAAAATTGACTGTGACATATATATATATATATATATATATATATATATAAGAAATCAAACACACATTGAGAGAAAATAATATATATATATAAGAAATCAAATACAAATTGAGAGAAAATATAATCGCAAAATTAACGAGAGTGGACACTAAAAAATAAAAAAACAGCAAAAATCTGAGAGATAAATTAGGAGTCTGTTTGGAAGAGTTATCTATTATGAGGCAAGGAAAAAGTTGTGTTAGGAAGTTGTTGTGAAACTATTAGGGGGAAGCTTTGTCTTTTGTTATTTTATATTGTAGTGCATTAATTGTGTTGCAGTTGTTTATAATAACAAGTTATTTTTTTTTATTATTGTTGTGATATTTATAAGATAATCAGTCCAAGTTGTATAACTCATACAAAAAAATATAATTTTATGAGTCCGTGATGAATAACTCATACATGAAAACATAAATTACATTCAGAATCTCAAAAAAACCATAAATTCAAATATTATATCAAGATCCTATATTTCATTTAACATTAAGTAGCACAACAATCAAAATAAAAGAAAACGATTAAAACAACAATTAACATGTCACTATATTGAATTTGAAATAAAGACCCAAATTTTCACAGGTAAACAATTAAAAAAAAAAATGAAGGCATCTCTATCAAAAAATTTTGCACGTAGGTTTATGCCGAAAGTCCTCAAAGGAACCACAAACCATAAAGAGCAACCCAAAATTATTTAAGCATGGATTGAGCCTGTAAACCACAAAGAGCAATACCACCAAAGTAGATTCATCAAACAAATAAATTTGGTTCCCCCATTCATCAAACAACAATTCACATAGCTATTCATCAAAATTTAATTAGCATATCCAGAGCAACTCAAATGAGATAGAGAGAAAACTATAAATAGCAACCTAATCAAGACAGAGAACGGCCCACAATGAGCAACCCAACCGAGACAAAGAGCAAACCACAAAGTGCAGCAAACCGAGACAAAGAACAGCCTCATTGACATAGAGACAAAAAGATCACAAAAAAAGAAAGTCGTAAAAAAAATTCCCCAAACAACTTTATAGAAAAACATATATAAAGCATTTGGGTGTATGCACAAACTATAAACCGTAAATAACAAATCCACCGAGACAAAAACCACAAACCACTGAGGAAAACCTTTAAAGTTAAATGATAGAAAGTTTTAAAAAAATGAAGGAAATCAAAGGAAGAAAACACTAGTAATCGTCGTAATAGGTACCAGATGATGAAGGAAATCAAAGGAAGAAAAAACCCTACATAGTGAACAAAAGGAGGATTGTTCGAGTAGATACACATTACGAGGTGGCCAGATAATATCAAAGGAACGAAATATGTGGAATGCAGGTTATGAACAACTTCACATAACCCTGGTTGTGTTCAAATAAACGCACAAACGCCATGGAAACCAAACGCTCCAAAGTGTGTTTTCGTACCACGGCACAACAAAGAAGCTACCTCGAACATACCCTAATACTCCCAAGATGAAAAAAAAAGCACTTCGAAGAAGAATAACTTGTTTAGCTAAAAACTTGCAGTAGAAAGTATCGAAAAATTAAGGAAAGAGAAGAAGAAAATGCTATCAATTGTCAAAACAAGCAACGGATGATGAAGGAAAGCAAATAGAGAAAAAAACCTTACATAGCAAACCGAAGGAGGATCGCTCAAATAGATACACAATGCGGGGTAATCAGGTAATTTTGAAGGAATGAAATTGAGGAATGCAGGTTATGAACAACTTCACATAACCTCGGTAATATCGGGGTCATGCATTAATAGGCAGAGCTATGACTTTTCCTTTTTGAAATATTTCTTCTCGACTCATTTGAATTTTTTTTTTTTACCATCAATTTAATGCATAGAAGTAGGTCTTTCTTATGATACAAATGCTCTTATTGTAGAATATAATGCCTACATTAGTCAAGTCGTTGTATTTTTTTTCTAGGTTGAGGATTTTTTTTTTCCGCTAAAGGGAATGCTCAAATACCCAATCATCGGGCCGCCATCTCATTTGCCATTGATCATGTTGTTGATTCTAATATTTTCATAGCTTGCACCATCAATGTTATCCAATGATCATCACTTGCCTTCTTAGCACTCAATTCTCATTAGTGTGCACATGATGAACAAGCAAATTATTCATTCTCTCAATAACTTCAAGGATACTAATATATAAATCCAATTTTATTATTTATAATTAGTGTATCAACGTGAGGGAGGAATAATAAATTTTTATTTTATTTAAACACTATAATGTTATAGAAATAATTAGAAAAAGATAAGGGTTTGTTTGGGGCACCGTTTTCTCTGCTTATCATTTTCAAAATGTAGTTAGGGGTCGTTTGGGGGTGCCATTTTCATTGTTTTTTGGCATCTATCGTTTGCGAAAACGGCAAAAGCTGGAATGGGGGGAGACAGGCGCATTATGTGGTTTAATCTTCGTTCCGCGTTTGTAATGTCAATGCTACCTCTCTACATTTTCTCTATTTCTCTCCTATGTCCCTGCAAAGGCCCCATATTTCATTTTGGCTCCTTCCATCCATTCTTATATAGCTGTAGTTATAGGGCAAACTCCTGGTTCCCCTTCCCCTCTCCATTTGTTTTCGCTGTCGTTGGCCGTGGCTGCTCATTTTGTATGCAATCATATCATTTTAGTGTTCGTTGTTGTGATCTGATAGTTTGCGCTGTTGTTGATGTTTTGGTGGATGAGGTGGTATGACCATTTTCGTTGTTTTGGCGTTTTGCTTAATTTGTTGCTTTAGTGATAACATTCAGCTCATGCATTGGCATTTTGTTTAACTCTTCTTGAACATGAAAACAATTTTTATGGAGATACTCATGTGCCCCGTGGGTTGCTTTTAAAATATTGGTCTGAATTTGTTGTGAGTTAATGCAAGTTTGAAAGTTTAGATGTTAGAATAGCTAATAATTTCATTTCACCTCATCTTCTTCAATCTAAAAATGTTTCTTATAGAGACAGTATTGTGCACTGTTGGTTATTTTTAAAAAAGTGAGCAGTGCAATTATTAAACCTTAGATGTTAGATCAGTCATTAATCTCATTTCACGTCTTCTTCTTCACTTGGGAAAATAATTTTTATGGAGATAATTATACGCATTGTATGTTGTTTTTAAAATATATTCATGTTAAATTGTTTTGAGTGAAATACAAAATTTGAAAGTTGAGATGTAAAATCACCGAGTAATTTTATAAAACATTTGTTATGTTATTTTATTGTAATCATTCTGAAAGCCATAATTTTTTTTATATATTACATTAGTCATTTTTTGTCAGAAACAACTGAATTCAGTAGATTTCCACAGAGAAGATCTTTCTCCACGAAGTAACTTCAGGGCTGCTGCTTAAAACTTAACTATTTTTTTCCTAAAAAATTTTGGTTGAAAGATAGCATTCTTACTACTAATCCATTAGCTCACATAGAAAAAACTACACGCTCAATCAAACACCATGTAAGAAAATAAAATCATTCTTCTCCAAAGCAGATGCACAACCAAATAAGCACTAAATATTGTCCAACCCGTCTAAAAAAAGGTAAGATTTTTCTAGATCTGCCCATATCAGCATTTCATAGATGCACACAAACAAAGCATCAGATCTGAAAACATGAAGATATAGACAAAAGCACCCCCATTGTGCAGGGGCAAAACAGGAAAGCAGCCGAACCGCCTCAGTCGCCGGCGTCATCGTCGGAGAAGATGGTAACGCGATAGTAGAGAAGAAGCAGAAGTAGGAGGAGAACGGCGGCGACGCCTAAGGGGGATCCGCCGACTCGGTGAATGGCGTCCGGCGGCCCAAAGGAAAAGAGATCGGAGATAGCATAAGCTCGGTCCGAAGAGAGGAACCGGATAACGATAACGAGCACTACAGGCAGGAGCAGGAGGCCCACTGGGGTAAGCAAATCCGAAATGGCTTCCGGTACGGCATCGCCCACGTCTCCGAGGAAGAATGGCGCCGCCGCCAGTACTCCGGCCACCAGTAGAAGTAGAAAACCATGCGGCGGAGACGCCCCGCCCCGGCCTTCCTCTATCATCACGTAATGCTTCTAAAGATTGCTTCTTTACGCTCTCCCTGTTTCTCTCTTCCTTTTGCTGTATAGAGGGGAGCAAATGTGTAGCCCAACCAAAAATGGTTTTTACGCTTTATCAGTGGAAGAAATATTACATCAGTACTAAAAATAACGTGCGTAGCCAATCAAAACACGCCACGATATCTCGCACGGTAGAGCAAAAAAAACGGCGCAGTAACACGGGGAATATTCTCTCCTGTGTTATTCATGTGTTATTGCGCGTTATTCATGTGTTATTGCGTGTTATTCATGTGTTATTGATGTGTTATTGCGTTATTATAACAGCAAGAATATTTTCAGGATACAATAACACATGAATAACACACAATAACACTTGAATAACACGGGAAATATTCCCGACAGAGAAAAAAACGGCGCAGTAACGCGGGGGAATATTCTCTCCCGTGTTATTATTGTGTTATTGTGTGTTATTCATGTGTTATTCATGTGTTATTGTGTTATTATAACACCAA